AGCTGAAAAAAGCACATGGATCCACTTATCACACTGCAAGAAAGTGATAGTTAGATCAGATGAGTAATGAGTAAAATCACTTTCTTAATTATTCTCTGGACCCTTACCATACTGCTTAGCACTCTAGTAATTCTACTGTGGTACCTGTTATAGAATACACATTTGGTCTCCTTCACCGACCTTCAGAGGAAGTCCATCGTACAAAGGGGGTTGTATTTTTAGTATACAACCATCTCAAACTGGTGAAGGTTCAACAACTCTGCCGAGAGGTCATAGGAAGTAGACCATTGTGTAAAAAGATTATCCATAGAACACTTTTTGAAGTTTGAACCTAGATGATGTTGCGATTATTCATATTAGTTTTGTCTTTAGCTCTCACTCAGGGCAAGGATTCTTGTTGCCCTCATGATCCAGCTATTTGTAAAAGGGACGTCTATCTCTGCTATAACTCTACTAGAGTAATCAGTTTGGTGACTATTCCTTTTCAAACATTCTCGCAAAGATTTAAACATGACCCGGGAAATTGGCGCGGTTATGATTTCTACCTATTTCCTCGCGTAGTTCAAAGAACTCATAATGGTTGGGGAGACGTATTTAGAACCACTGGACAGTGGAAAAAGGGATCATATGGATGGACACCTTTAGCTAAGAAATGGATGAGTAGAATATCAGGGTTCACTGTTAACCATGCCTCCAAAGTTTTCACTATGACAATAAACTCCACAGCAGAACCCCTTGAGAAGGAAGGCTGTTCTTCCTCATTTCTATGTGCACGGTCTAGTGGAACCGATCCATGTTGGCCTTTGTATTTGTGCCCCGCAAATATTACACAAGAAGGAGATGAGATACAAGGGATTCTTACTTCTGCCCAAGGTGAACAGATAAAAATTCAAAATATTAATGGTCCGCTTAAAACAGATGAATTGTTTCAAGTCATCACTGGAATCTCTGGGCAAACAAACAACTGGCTTTTAATGGCAGAACAAGCAGCTAAAACAGTGTCTAATGATTGTCTTGTGTGTATGGGAGCTAGACCGCTGTTACGTGTGGTTCCTGCCACCATAACTCCTCAATGTCTTCTAAATATAATGAATTATACGGTCCCAACTGATAATTGCACCTATTGGGATAAGATCTATCCCCTGACCACAGCTGAGAAGAAGAAACCAATCTTTTTGAAAAAAGTAGCTGTGGCAAATTTCACCTGTGTAAACAGGACCGGAGCGGGCCCGAAACTAGGCACACTAAATGAAACACAATGTGCAAGTATTTTACTGGTATCCATTTTTTTTAAACCTCAATCCTGCAGCGACATCTGGTGGTGGTGTGGAGATGACAAATTGTTTGACAGACTTCCATGTAACACCACTGGATTATGTGCTGCTGTCACCTTGATTTTACCTGTTTCTGTTACATCACTCACAACGGATGAATTGTTAACGACTGCAAACAGCATTTTACCTCACACAGAGCATACTAGAAGGAGGAGGGCATCTGAAAATGCATGGAGTGGAGATGACCCTACTTATATTGATAGCATTGGTGTAGCCAGAGGTGTTCCTGATGAGTATAAACTAGCCAATCAAGTTTCTGCAGAATTTGAATCTTTCTTATGCTGGTGGTGTACTCTAAATAAAAATGTAGACAGAATCAACTATATCCATTATAACGTCCAGAGGCTGGGAAATAAAACAGAACAAGGCTTCTCCGCCGTCCATGAACAATTGTCAGCTACCTCTCTGATGGCTTTCCAGAACCGTATTGCTGTTGACATGTTGTTAGCTGAAAAAGGTGGTGTGTGCTCTATTTTTGGAGATCAGTGTTGCACCTTTATTCCCAACAACACCGCTGCTGATGGCAGCCTCACAAAGGCCCTTGAAGGCCTTCGCTCTCTTAACAGCAAAATGAAAGACCATTCTGGAGTTGACACAAAAATGTGGGATGGATTTGGAGACATTTTTGGTAAATACAAACAATTGGTGCTTTCTATTTTAATGTCTATAGCTGTATTTGCCGCCATCTTGACCTTATGTGGATGTTGTTGTATTCCATGTATTAGAGCGCTGCTAAATAGACTAATTACCACAGCAATACAACCCATGAAAGCAGAAATGTATGCCCTCATGCCCACTGAAAAATACCCATCTGATGATGAAGACAGCGAAGAGGATGAAATCTCTTTGCATTTTCCTGACTTTTATCCTAATTCCAATGACATTAACAGTAACCCACCAGTTTAAAGTACCTCTGAGTGTACCCTTTACAGCTAAAACATGATTTCTTAGTTGAAAATCTGAAAAGAAGTAACTACTGAATGATAAAATAAATAGCTTAAAGTGAATAAACAGGAGGGAAATGTTGGATTAATTGTACAAGTTATTCTACTTAATCATATTATACTTATACATTCATATTTACACATTTGCATATTCCTGTATACTTGTATTACACATAGTGTTGAAATGTTTCACTTGCTGTCTTTCTAATGCTTGTTATTAGTGTGTGCAGGAAGCAAGGTCAAGGAGAATGGAGGATTGCACGTACTGGCACCGGATGAGGAGTGAAAGCTCTCCTTATCTTATGATATTGTATGATGTTATGCAAAACTTCTGGTTCCGACTGGTTTTCACCCCCTCCTCCCTCTTAGCTGTCGGAACCAACATTGTAGCTAGGGCGTTCCTTATTAAAATGCTTGGAGGGCAGAGCTGTTTCAGAGTGGTTTGGAGAATTGTAACTGAACAGTCTCTGATCACTCTCCTTGCAAGTAAATCATACTAAATTCTCTGTGTCTTTCTTTGTACAGGTTACTGAATAAAATGTTTGGTGTTTAAACCTAACATCCAGCTCTTTTTCAAGCATTCTGTCTTCGCTGACCTCAGTGCAAAGCTAGATTGTAAACCTTCTCTGACTCCAACCCCTTTGACACAATAATTAGAGAAAGACTTAAAAGGATGGTAAAAAAGACAGAATGCAGCTGTTCTTAAGACACAATATGGGGAATGCAAAACATGTTAAGAAAAAATTTTCCATCACAATGTTCTGCAGACGAAATATTACTTTAATCACAAAACACAAGTTCAATGTTTTCCCTCCCCAGTTTATCTCTACTTCACTCTGAAACCTAGAGTAAAAACTAATCCACACTACATTCCTGAGACAAACTTTTTGTTATTGTCATGACAAAGATTCATGCAGCTCAAGCTCCTCCTATTTAATGACCCAGTCCATGGTGAAGCAACTGTGTATCACTGTGATACACCTTAAATCTAAAGCATTTAGCTATCATAGAGGATGACAATAGAATAATGATGAAGCCAACTGTTCCTTTTGAACAAATTGAAATGCAGAGACGTGTATGACAACAACATTTAAACCAAAGGCAGAAGACTGAAGCAAAACAAATGTGTCTGCTTATGTCTTGGCTGAAATACCCTCAATTTCTTTGAGAAAAATTTACAAAAGGACATGATTTTTGCCCTTCTGGATTGAAAAGATGTTTGTCTTTTCCTCTCAACCGCATATGGTAAGAACATGATATCAGTTAAAACTAGGGCTGGGTATTGTTCAAAAATTTTCTCAAACCTATTTATTCTATTATTCTATGTGAACTAGCTTTAAACAGCCAGCACTTGTGTTAAGTTCATAAAACACTTTATTTTATTTATTTGTTTCCTTTGTCAGGTGTATTTTATTTGTTTTAATGCAAGCATTTGTGTTTGTGTCTTTAAACCTTAATGTTCAAAATAAATATGCAAATATTGTCAGAACATCTTACATGTCTGCATGTGTTCCTTAAAATAGTGTTTTTTTTTTATCAAAAAGATGAGAGAAAATGTTGAAATGCGAAATCATTTTAGGAAATGTTAAATATTATCTGCTGACAAAAAAGTAAAAGGTTAAAATTATGTCCCGACTAAAACTAGACTAAAATGTTGACGGTTTTTGTTGACTAAAACTAAACTAATAAAATTATGTTTTCTTGGACTAAAATAAAGACTAAAATGCTCGACTTATAGTCGACTAAAACTAGACTAAATAAAAATGGGATGTCGACTAAATGTGATAAAAACTAACAAGCGATGCTAAAACTGGACTAAGACTAAAACTAAATTTAAAAATGGCTGCTAAAATTAACACTACCTGGGGGGCATTTTAAAGCGGTTCCACGGCACTCACAACATGTTCACAACAGATACACATGAACCCTGGCTGTAGGCGTGACCACCTGTGTATTTTTCCTGGATGACGCAATCACGTTAAGTGTTACAGCCAATCACCCAAACTTGGCACCGAAAGACGAGGCATGTTTCGATACTCTGTAGAACCGAAACATTTCGGTCGGTACCATAAAAGAACTGAAGTTCGGTACCCAGCCCTAGTTAAAACCGTACAACAAATCAAGAATCTGATATGTCTCAGCGGCTACTATGGTTTGATTGGCTAAAACCTTGACATGGGCGGTCAGTAAACGATCAGCTCCAAGAATTGTACTGAATGTCCCTCCCTTTTGCTAACATGCTCTACAAGACAATACCCAGATTGATACGGTGTAGGAACTGAATTGAACTACGTGTGTGAATCTGGTTTATCCCTTGTTAAAATGTGGCCCAGATGCAAAAAAAAAAAAAAAGCTTTTGCTGTAGTTTTTAAAGAACAGCAGATTTCTTACAGCCTTAAGTTAAGGCTGCAATAAAACAGGTGGAATAGCCCTTTAGCCTTTTGCTGAACCAGTGTTACGAGAAGAAGAGCAGCATGCCTGCTGAGAATTGCCTCACCTGCTGCGCTCTAAGCTCCTGCACATTCATGATTAAGTGTCATAAAATTACCACTTTGTAGTAGTCATGGAAATAAAAAAAAGAAACAATATGAAAGATAGAGAAAATGAAGCTGACAAAGGATAATGCAGGAATGCTTTTAAGAGGTTTGTAGGTGGCTTTGATGTACCTATCAAGTCTAGATTGCTTTGTTGACATTTTTCCACAGACATTCATAAATCTTACCTGTGTGAGTTCTCATGTGATCCATTAAATGTTCTTTTTTAAGAAAGTTTTCTCCACATGTCAAACATGGGAAATGTTTCTCTTCAATCTCTTGCTTCGGAACAAGCTGGTCTTCCTGCTCACTTATGGGGTGCTCCATGGTTTCCTCTTTTGTCCAGTGATGTTCTGGCTTTTGATGCTCTTCTTTTATTTGCGGATGTTCCGAATCCTCTTGGTCCAAAGTGGAATTCCTCTCCTGTCCACAGAGCTGCTGGTCAGAGAAATCCTCCTCTTTTCCAACATAATCCTGCAGGCGGCCTGGAAAAACCAACACAGCACACAAACCAAACCTTAGTTTTCCAAACATTTCAATTATTGATGTTTTACTGCCATCTGAAGTGTTAGAACATCCTGTGGGATGACCATCTATCCTTGATTTCGATTTAGACAACCAGTTTAAAATAACTAAACCAACTTATTCAAACCAAATATCTCTCTTAACCTTCTTGGAATAAATTCCATCTTGTTTTACATTCATTGGCAAAAAAAGCTTCTGTACGTCTGTTTCTATCATAACATCAAAACAAATGTCTGTACACGATCATTTGATGAGATATTATTAGGGGCGACCATCAAAAAAGGACAATTTTGGGACTTTTGATTTAAAATCATGACAGGGACAGGATACTGCATCATCCAGAGACTTTTGATAAATGCAGTTTGACTGTTGTCAACTACTGGACACCTTTAGCTATCATGTGAGGTGACCACCTCAGAACTCTGAAAACTAATCTTTAAATGTAGATCTACGTTCTGATGATCAACTTGATAGTGTAACGTCATGAGAAGTACCTAGCTTGGTTTCTGCAGCTAAATATTAGGTTGGAAGTGAACATAGAATTTATCTGGGGTGACCGAGGATCAAAACTACTGAGTGTTTTACATGACAAATATGATTTCCTCAGTTTCTATTTATTTACACATAAAAGTTACTTAAACTGCCTGTTTATTTAAACACATTCTTCAAATTCAGTCATTTATCATTACTACTCAGGACTAAACATTTGTCTTTGGTTATAGTAAAATCATATGAAAAAAGACTAAACTACGAGGCACCAGAGGCGGATCTAGGGTGTGGCTACTTGGGCTACAGCCTCGAATGTTTCCCCAAGAGCCCCGGATCTTGCTTCTGAGCCGATCTTAGTAAAATGTGCAGTACTGGAATTCACCAGAGAGTGGCAGCATGAGCAGGAAAGCAGCCTGTATCATTCCTGTACAGAAGAAGAAGTGTTTCCCTTAGTCGCTGCCAGCTTATAGGACTCATGCACCCCCGCGGCAAATTTTAACAGGATAGGCCAGTGGCGGATATCAATGGATATCAGAAGCTTTTTCAAAAAGCAGACAGCTGCACCAGCACCATACCCAGCAGCACCAACAGCTGTTGGCAAACAGACTGATGTCCCAGGTATGTGACGCTTTGGCTGATTTTGAGACGTTGTGTGGATTCCCGTGGGATGGGAGACAGTATTAGTCACGATAACGTGATTGGGACGGTACAGGATTAAACATTAACGGGAGCAGACGGGAGCGGGAGCAAACCGATAATAACTAAAAAAAAACTAGGATCGATGCCAAAAAATAAAAAAAATAGAAAGAAATAAAATCCAGTACTGGCACAGCGCCGCCATGTTGTAGTTTTTTTCCTTTAAGCCTACACTAGAATGCGAGACAAAAAAACTACACGACCCAAAAACCAACAGTGATTCCGCTCTGAGTTTTTCACCCGCGCTCAAAAATAACAAGAATGGGGCTCTGTTCGAAATCCTGGACTGCATCCTCCAAGGGCGCGGTCTACTTAGACTGGATCCTTTGAAGTCCGTGAAAATAAGGAGACCGGAACAGTTTTGGCTGTGAATTCGACCAGGTCTACCCTTCAGCGTAAGGTCTGTTGCTTAGCAACCGCGAAAGTTGACACACAAAGCAGGAAAAGAATGAAAACCGAAGTTTCCAAAACTGTTTGTTTATTTATTTCTTTTTTATTGTAAAGTGAACAAAGACTGATGAGAATCCAGAGTGGAATAAAGGTTCCAACCACCGGGAGCAGGAACAAATCAAATCAAATGTAATGATAGAAACCTTAGCCAGTTAAATAACCTGCTGCTGTCATTCTGCAAATCTCTGATGTTGCTGCTATTTTCAAATATCCATTACTGTAAAATAGTCCATAGCTGCATATTGGTTATTTATTCTCCAGTTTTATATTGTTAAAACACTTTACAGAATTGTGTCATGGTCTTGGTTCTGCTGTTCTTTTCTTTGCTCCTTGTTTTCTAGATTTATTGGCCTAATTCCAGTTTTGTTGTATTTCTAGATTTATATTAGTTCTCATGTTTTTCTGTTGTCCTCTTTTGCCCTCTTGTGTGTGTGTGTGCATGTTCCTTTCCCCTTGGCTCCCTCGTTGTCTCCTCTCACACCTGTTCCTTGTCTGCTCGTTAGCCCTCCCTTTGTCTCTCTCTGCTATATATGCTCTCCCTCTGCTCTCACCCTTTGTTGATTCCTTGTCTTTGCTGTCCTCCCATGCTGTTGTCCACGTTCCTCGTCTCTCCCTGGCTCCTCGTGTTTGGTTTTCCCCAGATGTCCCCATAGTTCTGGTTTGCTTTTGATTATTAGTTGGATTTTTGCATTCCTGCCTTTGTTACTGTTTTTGCCCCATTAAACTCCCAAGAAATCTCCTCAGCCTCTCTGCCTCTGCATTTGGGTCCTCTACCAAAACTAACCCTGACAAATTGTGTTGTTGTTTTTTTGTTTTGTTTTTTAACTCTTCCCTATTATGTTATTCTTATACATTTTTCTAAGGTCCACATTTGTGTGACAATTTTCAATAATCTTTCTGCTGCTGTAAATGTGCCCATTGTGGGACAATAAAGATATTTTCTATTCTATTCTATAAAGGGGGTAGAAATATATAAGTAAATCTAAACAATGTATGTATAAAAAAAATATCTGCAAATCTAATATTAAACAAGAAAAAAATCTTAGTTAAGCCTATTGTGCAAAACAGCAATAAAAAGATAAAAATCCTATCAGATTTATAGTCCCCCCCCACCCTGCAGATATATTAGAGTCTGTCCTTAAATTACAGCCAAACCCATTTACACAGTAACAGATAAAAACCTTTAGATAAAACTAAACATTACCGCCACATATCTGACTCTATAACCATTAAAACAACTATTTTCATTCATCTCAGACGGAACTATTCACAGACTGAATTATATTAAACAGAACTTCCAATTTTCACCACTGTTCGGCGCCAAGTAACCTTTCCTCTGATCACGGCTTGCTTGGTCTCGCAATGAATCCTGGGTAAACCAAGGATACATCGACACCCGTCCTTCAAATCGGGCTAAAAGAAGGACGCATTTAAAGGCCGCATAACGAGGAGTCTTGGAATCCTACCAGACCTTGGCGCTGCACTATGATGTAATCGTACTTCGAATCTGGCCTTCTAAGGACGCATCCTAGGTTTTCGAACAGAGCATGGGAGTGGTGCAGGAGCGGGAGTCATTCTGAATGGGAGCGGGATGGGAGTGGGAGTAATTTCACCAGGAGTGAGACGGGACAGGATTTAGATTTCTATTCTAGCCCGGGATTGGGACGGGACACAAATTTTTTCTGTGGGAGTGGGACGGGACAGGAGTGAAAATCCACTCCCGTGTCAGTCTCTAGTCCCGGCCGGTCAATTATTGGCAGTCATTGCAAAGTCTCTTGTCCATTCAAATTACTCGGTTGGAACTAACTTGTATAATTTCAAATATAGGTCACTTTCTCCAAAAATATAAGCCTCCCTCTAATGCAGTCTACCTCTCCCATTCGACCCAAAATGAAATGATCACCTGCATTTCACAAGAAATAACAGAAAATATCACAACACAAATTAAATCATCCAAAATGTACTCTGTGATGGCAGATGAAGCCAGAGACCACCACAAAGAGCAGCTGGCTGTCTGTGTCCGTTATGTCACACAACTTGGTACGCCAAAAGAGGCATTTCTTGGGCTACAGAAGCTAGACAGTTTTGACGCAAAGTCAATTGTAGATGGAATAGAGGCAGTGCTACAGTCTCACAATCTAAGTGACCTCATGTGTGTTGCACAAACGTATGATGGAGCAGCTGTGATGAGTGGACCAGTGGGGGGTGTTCAGGCCAGCTTCAGAGAGCGACACCCTGAAGCTGTGTATGTGCTAGGGTTGTCAAAAGTATCGAAACTCAAAAAAGTATTGATACTGAAAAGTTGTATCCGGATACAATACTCGTTTTTAAAAGTATCGATACAGTGCCACCACCAGTGGCACCTAAGCAGTCATTCATCTAGAGTGCAGAATAGAGGACAATGCACTTTCAGAACACTGTGTGATTGAATAGTTCTACGCAGTTTTCAGTTTCAGACTTTTTTTTTTGTAAGAACTGCAGCTGCTGAGAATTATTTTTGTTTCTTAACCGGTTTGGCTAGTTTCATTGTTATGTGTGCAAAGCATAGCCAAAGAAGGAACACTTAATTTTAATTTTATAAGTTTTTTATCAACCTTGCTTAATATAGTGCACAGCATACAACCTTTACTGTATTTTATTTATTAATGAAAATATTTCTGTAGAATTTTGGATTCTTTGTTTTTATCCTTGTGGTATCGAAAATGGTATCGAGTATCGAATATTTTCCTTAGTATCGGTATCGAGTTGAAAAGTTTAGTATCGTGACAACCCTAGTATGTGCACTGTTATGCACATGAGCTCAACCTTGTTTTGTGCTACACTGGCAAGGCTATACCTGAAGCCACCACATTCTTCGATCTCCTTCAAAACATCTACACATTTTTCAGCAACTCTCTTGTCAACCACAACAAGTTTATAGAAATCCAAAATCAACTGAGATTAAAACCACTTGTGGAGCTCTCCACAACAAGATGGGCTTGCAAGGTCTGTCAATGCTGTCTTGAATAACCTTCCTGCAATTCTGGCATGTCTTTGCAACATGAAGACAGCCATGGCCAAAGGGATCCTGGCAAAGCTCTCCAAGCTAAAGACCATCTACCTGCTTGTGATGTTTGCCAAACTCCTTAGCATAACTGAAGGGCTTCATCGGTACCTGCAAGGGGAGAGTTTGGACCTGGGTAGAGCGGCTCAGTATAAAATGGCAACTGTTCAAACCCTGACAGATCTCCGCACAAGTGCAGGGGCTGAGGATGTGTTTATGAAGGCCAGAACCATATGTGAAGAAAACCACATCCAGCTCCCTGTTGGTCCCAGGCAGAAACAA